AGAAAGAAAATAAAACATATTACATTTAGGGCAATTCCTTGATGTGATTTCTGTCATTTTCTTGCTCTGTTAAGCCTGGTTTATATTACACTCTTTGAAATGAAGAGCATGTTTGTGTAAAGAGGCTTCACCTTAATTTCAACAATTAGATTTCAAAAAACATCCGCTGTAGTATAGATGGGTATTATAAGCTCATTTGCCATTCAGTTTGATACATTGGGTAGCAGGACTGAGTTTGAATAAATGAACTAGTAAATATGAAATTTGGATATTATTTTCAAATTTTTAATTGGTTGTTTGAAGCATAATTCAATGACTAGTTAAAAACAAAAGAAGAGTTACCTGTATTTCTTGTGAAGACTAAACATTTACAAAGAGTTTAGGAGCTCCATAAGTGAGAGGATATTACAGAAAAGATTGGGGTCAGTATTACCTGCTGAATTATTTCCAAGCCACTCTTTTCCATTTGCCAGTGCTTAAATTTCTCCAGAGCTTCATCCACAGATATTTTCCCTTTCTTGACTTTCTCCTGCAGGAGAATGAGCTCTTCCTGCCCAGAGGCCAGATAGCCGCTCGCAATAGAAAAGGCTGGACTCTCCGTCTGAGCTTTGTCTACAAAATGAGGGGAAGGTGTTTTAAAGGGCAGTCAACATATGGAAAATTGGGACAAAATACACTTTTAAAGGACACTCTTAAAATAAGCCATTGGTGTTTCTCATTCTTAACTGTGTACAAGTAGTTACCAAATAAACCAGTACAAACCAGTGCATTTTTTTTTCCTAAGGATGGTGGGGCTTGTTTGGCATCTAGTGTTACAAGTAAAAGAATGTATTTCAGCACTGAAAAATATAAAGGCACAGGAGAGAGAAAAAAGCTGAAACAAAAGTTCTAACTGTGTTATTTGTAGGACATGTCATTTTCTTGTCCTACCCAAATTGAACCATGAAGACCCAGAAAACCTAAACAGATATAAAAATGAGCAATGATGTTGAAACAATAATAAAAATTCTCCCAACAAAGCAAAGTTCTGAATTAGACTGGCTTCCTGCTGAAGTCTACCAAACTTTTAAGGAAAAATATCAATTATTAATATCAATTCTTCTTAAATCATTCCAAAAATTTTGAAAAATAATGAATTTTTCCAAACTCATTCTACAAGGCCATCATTATCCTTATTCTGAAACTAACAAGGACACAACAACAACAACAACAACAACAACAAACCTATATACCAATATCCCTGATCAACATAGATATAAAAATTCTTAACAAAATGCTAGCATTTCAGACCTGATTCTTACGGTTTTAATATTATATGCCCCGCCCCCTCCAAAAGCTGGTGTGTGAAACAATGCAAGAAACTTTAGAAGTGAAATGATGGGGTTATGATACCTTAACCTCATGAGTGCATTAATCCACTGATAGAGATTAACTATAGGCAGGTAAGGTGTGGCTGGAAAAGGTGGGTCATTAGAGGCATGCCTTTGGGATTTACATTCTGTCCCCAGCAAGAATACTTTCTCTCTCTGCTTCCTACTGCCATGTCCCTACCTGTTTCCTCTCCTACACTCTTCCACCATGATGTTCTGCCTCACCTCACTCCCCAAGGAATGGAACCAGCTATCTATGATCTGAGACCTCTGAAATTATGAGGCCGCAAATAAACTTTTGTTCCTTTAAAATTGTTCTTGTTGGGTCTTTTAGTCACAATAGCAAAAAATCTGACTAAAACCCCAACAGTATATCAAAAGGATCATTCAGCATAATCAAATGGGATTTATCCCAGGGATAAATATGCCATCAACAAAATGCAGGACAAAATCATATAATTTAAATAGATATAAAAAGAGCATCTGGAAAAATTCAACACCCTTTTATGATAAAAACCGAATAGTTTAGGCATTGAAGGATTGTACCTAAACATAATAAATACTGCATACAATCAACCTATAACCAACATCATACTGAACAGGGAAAAGCTCAATGCATTTCCTCCAAAATCTGAAATAAGACAGGAATGTTCAAGGCCACTGCTCTTACTCAACATGGTACCAGAAGTCTTTGACAGAGAAAGTAGGCAAGAAAAACAAATAAAAGGGATACAGATAGGAAAGAAGGAGCGAAGGAAGTCAAATTATCCTCATTTTCAGATGAGATGATTCTATGTATTGAAAAACCTAACAACTGCACTGAAAGACTATTGGAACTGATAAATTCAGCAAAACCATATGATACTAATCAGCATACAAAAATCAGTAGCTTTTTCATACACAAATAATGAGATTACTAAGAAAGAAATCATGAAAGCAAAATCATAATAGTTATAAAAATTAGAATATCTAGAAATCAATTTAACTAGGGAAGTTAAATACCTCTACAATGTAAATCACCAAATTCTAATAAAAAATTTAAAGAGGATACACAAGAAAGGGAAAGACTTCCCATGCTACTGGATCAGAGAATGAATATTGTAAAAATGTTCAGACTACCTAGAACAATCCACAGATTCAATGCAATCCCCATTAGAATATCAAAGGGATTCTTCATAAGACTAGAAAACACAGTACTAACGTTCATATGAAGCACAAAGGATATCAAAGAACCAAGGCCATCTTGACCAAAAAGAACTAAGTTGGTCAGTTCCACATTAGCTGACTTCGATGTATACTGAAAGTTATACAAATCAAAACACACAAAGACCAGTGTAACAGAGTAGAGTCAGAAGTAACCTTATATATTTAAAGTCAACTGATTCTTCACAAAGGTGCTAAAAGTGCACTCAGGAGAAGGATGGCCTCTACAATGAATGATTCTGCGAAAACTGGATATTCACATGTAGAAGACTGAGATTTACTCCCTCTCATCCTATAAAAAAGAAACTCAAAATGGATTGAATACCCGAATGAAAGACATGAGACTATGAAATTAGCAGAAGAAAACACAGAGGAAATGCTTTAAGATATGGGTATAGGTAGCAAGGTTTTTGGATAAAATAACAAAAGAAAAACTAACAAGTGGTATTATATCAAACTAAGAAATTTCTGTACATCAACAGAACGAAGAAACAATCTACAGTTGGGAAAATTCTTTGAAAAGCATTCATCAAAGAACTAATATGCAGAATATATAAATAATTTTTAAAAACCCAATAACAAAAACCAAATAATCCAATTAAAATGGCCACACAATATGAATGGGCACTTTCTCAAAAGAGGAAACACAATGGCAAACAAATGCATGAAAAAATGCCCAACTTCATTAGCTTTCAGGGAAATAGCAAGTCAAAACCACAATGAGATAACAGCTCATCCCAGTTAGACTATTGTATAAAAGTTAAAAATAAAAATGCTGGCAAGGATGTGGAGCAGAGGGAACTCATATACACTGTTGGTGTGAATGTCAATGATCACATCCATTATGGTGGTTTCTTAAATAATTAAAATAGAACTACCATATTATATAGCTATCCCACTTCTGAGTATACATACACTCAAAGGAAATTATATCAGTACACCAAAGAAACACCTGTATGCCTGTTTATGGCTGCACTTTTCACAATGGCTAAGAAATGGAATTTAACCTTGATGCACATTGGAACGGAAAAGAAATGCTGTGTATACTCTCCCTCTCATACACACACACACACACACACACAAACACACACATGCACATGCACACGCACATCCTCACACACAGAGTATGGAATATTATTTGGGTATTGAAAACGAATAATCTATCAGTTGCAGCAAAATGATTTGAACTGGAGGTTATTATGCTAAGTGAAATAAGCCAGACACAGAAGGTCAATTTCCACATATTATTTTTCTTAAAATGCTTAAAAAAGTTGATTGGAATATATGATATGGATTATTAGAGTCTGAGAAGGGTGGTGGAAAGTGGGACGGTGGGAGGTTGGATAATGGATACTAAAAACGCAGACAGAAGTAAAAAACTCTAGAGTTCTATAGAACCATGGAGGAACTATAGTACACAATGAAACTATTATGTATTTTATGAATAAGTAAATGAGAACAGCCTGAAGGTCCCAAACAAAACAGTGATAAGGAGATGGAAACTTTAATAATAATCTGGATTTTATTAGTGCATATTATATATAATATCGAAAGTCACCCTGTAACCCATAAACTTGTTCAGTAAAAAAATTATATTGAAAAAAAAGAAATTATGTGCATACACTTAGTCTAGGCCTGCCACATAGTAAGCTAAATAAATATTAATATTATTAATACTATTTGCTGAATAAATAATATCTTTGACTTTGGAGAAAGGAACCTCAACCAAAATCTAAATGTCATGAGAAACTGAGGATCATCTGAAATTTTATTCCTGAAAGATTTAAAATAAATCATTGGTCATTTTATAGTGAAATCCTTCATTTGCAAAAGAGTTCATTTTGGAGCCTTCTGTCTTTTACCTGCTCAGTATGGTAAGAATATTAGATGGCCCAGTGTCACATGTGTGACTGGAACACCAGAGCCTGGTCTGAGGTTCCAGGGTCACAGATTGGCAGACAGTGGACAAAGTCCAGCATTTATTTCATCAGTCCACAGTGGTATTTAAAGACAGAAGATGGTCTATGTTGCTTTTTGGGATGTTATAAGTGTTCTTTGTCTGGGCTATCTCAATTGTCACTGGAAAAACGCACTGTGCTACCTGCCCAGCTGCAGAACTCACTTGAGTTTGTACCTTTTCATTTACAAATCCATGAAGTCCAACGTGCTTGCTGTGGTATCACAGAGGAGGCAGGGCAATGAAGCAGCAGCACATATGTTAATACTGTCAGATCTAAATATGCTCATGAAGCCAAGAAGGAGAGAATAACTAGTCCTGCCATGTGCCTAGGAAGCTGTCCCTGGAGATGTATGCTTGTTATGGGGAATTCTTCTTCAAGAAAGAAATAAACTGTGAGGCATCTAGACCATATTGACATGGAGTTGGGAGATAGGTAGAACATTCAAATTCTATAGAAATACAGATTGGTTAATAAAATTAGGATTGGTTTTTCCTTAAGAAAATGTTTCAAGTCTTTGACAGCATGTTTTAAGCATTTGTAGGGGACTCAAGCATCAGGGGTTTCCTGAAATGACCTTTAATGTCCCTCTCAGTTTTGAGCAGGGTGGTAACAACAATTCTTGAAATAGGGTCACGGAGACAATTTTTTTTTTTGGAAAGATTTACATGCATATAAAACTGCTCTATGACCAGTCATTATGAATCCCATGGGAGCTTTCCTGACTTGTCTTTTCTCTTCAGAAGTCTATTCCCCCAGAACTAACAAGATGTCAACAGATTCTATACTCTAAATCTTCCTTCAGGGATGAGGGAGCCTGAAAATCTCAGGGGAAGTGGAGAAGCACAAGTCGGCCAAAGGGCTAACTGGTTCAGCGGCAAAAAGCACAGATAACAATTGAGATCCTGCTTTCTTACACCATTTGCTTTTTATAGTCTTCTACACTCACATGCAATTCGTGAAATGCAGTTTACAGTAGCATTCTCTGTGCCATCACTGCCAGAATGTGTAGGTTTCGCATCATCATTTAACAGCTACGCCATTTAACTATCACTTCACTTCCATCATCCACTGCTTAAGC